TTCCAGTCTCAGCAATTCTGTGATTCTGTGACTGGTTGGATGTCACAGGGAACACTGTACATGCTGATATAGGAGTAGAGGGATTCAGGAGCACCCAAGCGCTGGGTGCACAAGACAAGAACATTGCAGGGCACCATCTTGATGTTTCACAGGAACGTTCCCGGCAAAACCCTCCCAGTAACAGCCCAAAGTTGAAAACAAATCCTTTCTTCCCAACACAGCTACTAGCTTGCAAATGCTCCCGATACAAGCTAAGTCCTTAGGTGAGTAATGGTACATGAAAAGTGATTTTACTAATAGGTTAGCACACTGAGCTAAGAACGCATAAAAAGCTTGTGGATTTGAGAGTGTTCCTGGAAATTACTGTTGCTGTTATAGATTTCCACCATGCCAGCCACGCTCTTCAAACCTGCCTCTTGTCAGAGGAATAATGCGACTTTGTATACTGAACTTCATCATTTGGACAGGTCATCTCCAAAACACTTGGTACTCCACAAACCTGCTGTTATTGCCCTGATGACTAGTGAACTAGACCAATCTCTCAACTCTTGCAATGATTTACAAATATGCCAAATGGAACTTGCATTCCTTAAGTTACAGTTTGTTTGACACAAGTTTTTTTTTATTTTTTTATTTTATTTAAAACAACCCAAAACAATCCACTATTCATTTGCAAAAAAGACCAATTATAATCTTGCAAATGACAGGAAAAAAACAACAACAAACAATAAATCTGCTCTAATCTTTGTTTTTACTACTTAGAATGGCAATTCCTTTGCCTGTTTTTACTACAACATGGGAACAAAAAAAACCCCAAAAAGGATCAAGGATCACAATCTCTTTTCTTTTACAACAATCACAGTTTCAAAAAATTATGATAATTTCATTGCAATGGCCAAGGGGTATCAGAAGCATTAATTTGAAACATGTTCCTTTTCCACAAGTGATTAGGAAGACGACTGGCTCAAAGTGTCTGCATTTATGAAAAGCTGGTGCGGGAAGTAATTTCATAAATCAGCATCTAAGGCCTTATGATCATCACCCAAGCAGCTAGCACAATTAACTTTTACAGCAGCATCAGGAATGCAAAGAATTTGTCTCTAATCTGTCAAGGGGTACAAAGAACCACACCATTAGATATTACAGAGAGGTATTAAATTAAAGCTATTGCTGGTAATTTTTTACATGTGAAATGTGATCAGTTGGAGGAAACAGCACTAGAAGATACATATTAAACAAACCCTGAAAGATCCAACTCTTGGATAAGCACATACCCAAAGAGATGGTGATTTGTTTTAAAATTCATTAATGTGAACATTATTTAGATTAATTTCAAGTAAATAACTATTTTTAAAAAGGGGGAGGCTCAAGTCACAATAGATGGGAAAAAAGAATGGTATGACACTAATGTTTAATGCTGGCTATTGAAAAGCTGATCTTTATTTTCCACCACCAGTTTAAAAGTGCAAATGAATGCTACAGCAGCTCCAATCATTTACCTTACTGACACACCTGACTGTGTGCACAGCGCATTCATTTGCAGAATAATGAAAACTTAGCAAGCAACAAACAAAAGAACAACTATTTTGGATTAGAATGAGAAATAAAATTAAGCATAGGATAATAAAAAAAAAGGCAGCAAAAATAAATTATTTTCTTTTGAAATACTCTCTTTCCCCTGAATGAAATCAAAGAAAATACTGGTTCTCTGAGTTGCTTTCTTACTACCAAGAAATACTTGTATAAGATCCATTTGTTTTCCAGTTTTTTTGTTTGCTTGTGTTTTTTTCCCTTTCTTTTACTCTGCTGTAGCATTCAGTTACACTATGTAATGACATTATTTCAACACTTACCAAGGATTTTGAATCCTCAGGCTCTGGCAGACTCACATTTTCTGCAGAAGATGCAAGTGAAAGAGAATCAGGAGGAGAGCAATATTCTGGTTTAAGAACACTGCTTCCAGCATCTTGGTCTTGGGATTTTACAGGTAATGCAAAACCATGAGGAGGTGTTGACTGAACACCTTCTTTTTCCTCCTCCTCACCTTTGTTTCTGAATGTACTAGTAGAGAAGGGGTGTGCAGAGTCTGGTTGTGAAAACGAACTGCTAGTGAACAAAGTTTGAGTTCTTTTAGCTTTTTCTACTTCGCCGTTATATTTCTGGGTATCATCCATCTAGGACAGAAGTGATAGTTTGGTAAATATGTGATTCATTAAACCAACAAACAAAAAATAATCTTTTGACAATCTAAATATTTAACAAAAAAACCCTCTCCCTTTCATGCAAACATTGGTTGATGTACCCATTACAAACCAGGACAGCTCTTGAAAGAACAACATATTTTTTCCTCTTGAAGCGCTTGCAGAATAAATTGTCCAGACTTTCTAAGACAAACTTGGTGAAATCATCTGCTTACAATGATTTGCATTCTTACAATTTTTTTTTTTTTTACATTGAGACATATAGGAATTTAGAAGAAATGAAAATCAATACAGTAATTGGGAAGGCGGGGGGTGGAAAGAATCAATTTCTGTGTTTCAATGCTTTACTGAGCAGGCAAATTTTAGGCTAGCATAAAATTTCATTTCAGTGAAGTCAGCAGAGCAGAGGAAAAATCACCTGAAAATTTTGTCTTTAACACTTAATTATGTTAACTTAGCTTTAGACAGTTACATTTGATGAAGGCAGTCTTTTTGATAAGAAAGACTAAGGAGACTTAGAACAAGCAATAAAGAGTTTCTTCTACCAAATATATTTATCAGTCTTATTTCTAGGAGTCCCTTTAAGTACAGGAACACAAGTAAACATCTAAAGCCATGACAGAATTTGCTGCTCTATTAACAGAGCCTTCATCAAACAGCAGACTGGTTTTTTTAAAAAACAACAGATATTAAAACTCTGCTGTTCCCTCAGCTACCCAAGAGCCCAACACACACAAAGCTAGAGAATGAAGCAGAATTTTACCGTGAACGACCGTGGAAGTGACGAGATTCCTCTTGAGTGGACACCAAAAGGTCTTGGTGTAACCACAGATGTTAACCTAGAGGTATCGGTTTTCTGGTAACTTCTCGGGAGAGAAGCTGAAACCTGAGCTGACCCAGTTTGAGCGTTTGCCGGGTAGCGGGTAGACAAAAGAGCTGAGCTCTGCTCCTCTGCCAAGCTCTTTGGCGGAACAGGAACTTCACGAGTCGAGCTCTCAGGCAGGTTCTCCTGGTGCGGTTGCGAGGCATTTGCGCTTCTGCTGTCCTTAGTGGTGTAGGAGGTATCTTCTTCCAAAAGGTAATCCTTTGCTGATGACCGTGTGGTAGGTGCTTTTTCTTCACTAAACACATCATCATTCAGTGAATACCTCCACATGTGTTCATGTTTTCTCTGCCGGTAGGAGTCTTCATCTCTGTCCTCCCTATAGGGAAATAAAATACTCAAGCGACCTCACAGACAGGCAGTCCCCAAGTCTTTCAACTACTCAATGTTCAAGGCAGAGTGTAAACCAAGAAACACATTTCTAGCAAATGAAAATGAATGGCATAATTAAAAAAATATAAGTATTTTAATGTATTTTTAAACCTACCTTCTTCCCCCTCCTCTCCATTTCAACACTCAGGCATAGTACTGTCACATTATCAGGTTGCCACCATGAAAGAAATCTCTTTGCCAAGAAGACGATATAGCTGTTCAAGTTACATACCCTCAGAAATTCAGATTTTATTGAGGAAATAATGGGGAGAAGGTAGCCCCATAACACTGCCTGAACTGTATACCTCTGCTGATGTCTTTGCTCTATGAAAATACTATATTCAAATTTAGATAACAAAATAAAACTGTGTCCTGAAGTTCATATTATTATTTTTTCTGCTGTTCATTCCACAGAGATAAATCTTACCACGTTATTTTTAAGATTCTGACGACACAGTAAACATTCAGTGCATTCATTAGCATCTGTATTTTTATTCAAGAGACTTATTTTCATCCTCACAAATAAAGAAACTCAACACATTCTGGTTTATGACTTATTTAAATTTCTTTTATGAATACATGCCATGTGCATGTTTCCTTTCATCTCAGTCCTACATGCATTTATAAAAAAAAAAAAAAAAGGAAAAGGCTGTCACCAGTAAAAACGACACTGTGCTACTCAGTTTACACTTTTTACACCTTGGAGAGAATCACGTTCTGTAAAAAGCCAGAGGAACTACTGGGGATACAGGAGAAAGCAAGCAAAAGTTTACAGCTCTGTGATATACATGAAAATTCTGTCTCTATTTATTCACAGTGGCTAAAAGATAGCCAATGCAGCAACAGAGGAAAGAGAAATAGTTATGCTGATCCAATTATAAAAAGGCAATTATACAGTTCAAGACTATTGTTTTAACCTCTTTAAAGTGGATTCAAATACTGACTTCTCAATGGATCTATTTATGGATGGCAGAATAAAACATTATTTATAGAGCAAAACCATTTAATATTCTGTGAAAACAATGCATTAGCAGACCATATTCCACCCTTCAATTGCCTAGATTTCCACACTATAATTTGCAACTAAAATTGCCGAGATCTCTGCAGAATCAATTGCAACTTGTCCGTAAAAGCCACTCAAGAATTCAAGGGAATAAAATGCTCAGATTTAAGTTCTTCAGCAAAATACCCCCATTAGGGCCATTACCTCTCCTCTTGCATTTCTTTCAGTGACTTGGTTCTCCTTTCAGACACTTCAGAGGCTCTCCTTTCTATTTCTTCCCTCTCCTCCTTTTTCTTTTGTAATTCGGAAGTGAAGCTCTTTCTACGATTCTTCCATTTTGCTAGATCCTGCAAGAATAAAGCGTACAATCGGATTTTCTCCAGACTTCATAAAACTACAGGGGCAACCCATCGCATGCGACCTGCTGCCCTGATTCTGCTTAAGTGTCTGCACGGAGGCCACGTTTTCACATACCTTCCCCCTAAATGATAAAGGGATTCTCATACTTCAGTCCTAAATGATAAAGGGGTTCTCATACTTCAGTCCTAAATGATAAAGGGGTTCTCATACTTCAGTCCTAAATGATAAAGGGGTTCTCATACTTCAGTCAGGGCCACAGGATCACTGCCTACTAAAGCTAACAATTTTAATTACTGCACTGTAAGTGTAAAAATATATGTTTTATCCTTTTTTTTTTCCTTTTCCCCTTGACATTATCACTTATACTCTAGAATACTTCACTTAATGACACATAGCTGAACCTAATGCAAATGCCATCTGTATTTCTTTGCTATAGGCTTTGGAGTTTGGGCTATTAATTTTTTTTTCCAAATCAATAGTATGTTAGACTGATACATTAGCTTGAGAATAAATGTGCCTTAATTCCAGATTGAAAACATACACTTTCATTTTTTCTTCATTTCTGTAAAACTACAAGAACTAGCAATAGTCTTCATGAAATACCAGAACTAAGAGATGTCCTGAATATTAAAACTGAGATGCATTAAACAAACAACTAGGAACTGCTTGCTTGGTGCTCTGTTCCTAATTTCAGCTTCCTGTTGGTCACCATTGCCAAGCACAGATTTTAATAAAAAAGGTCTTCAGACTACCTTATTGTGATGCTGTGCAAAGCTACCTTTGCACAAGGAAGTATTATTTTCCTTCCTTCCTCCCAAAGGATCAAATATTCAGACATTCCAACCATTTCAGAGAAAAAAAAAGAATGATCACAAATTTTGGATAACACATGAAAGTGTACCCTAACTTTTGTATATGTCCACAGAAATCAAGCCTGAGGGCTTTACTATCATAGAATCATGCAATATTCAGGGATGGAAGGGACGTCCAGAGATCATGTAGCCCAACTTCCTGCCAGAGCAGGACCCCCTAGGGCAGCCACACAGGAACGCATCCAGGTGGGTTTTGAAAGTCTCCAGAGAAGGAGACTCCACAACCTCTCTGGGCAGCCTGTGCCAGTGCTCTGTCACCCTCACAGTAAAGAAGTTTCTCCTCATGTTGAGGCAGAACTTCCTACATTCTACCTTATACCCATTATTCCTTGTCCTATTATTACAATACACAGAAGTCTTAATTCCTGAAGCTCTAATCAGATACTTCAGTCAGTTAAAACAATTTCAGTTCTGCCTAAAACAGACATCTCCCAACCACTAGTGGCTGCACGAGATGCATCGCTTCAGAACATAACCACATAGATTGATGTGCGCGTGCCAAAGCCTGTTTTCTAGGGTCACTGAAGGTAGAGAGCATCCGGCCTGTCAGCAGGGTGAAAAGCAGTACGTACTTCTTGCCACTTTAGATCTTGTTCTTGTAACTGCTCTTTTATCCTTTGTAGCTCTTCATAACGGATTTTGCGCAATGACTGCAGCTCCTCTGCGCTGACATCGTTCAGTGATTTACTCCTGGAAAGAAAAGAGTACTCGGCTTTATCGCATCTTAGCCATCATTCATGCCAGCGAAACCTTCGAGAGAGATTTATATTAGAGAAACTGAGCGCTCTTGGGTGTTATTTCTAATAGAGTAGGAAACACACAGGCAGCTGAACAAGCAAGGCTGTGACGTGCTCTAGCGCCAGCACTTGAGCCAGTAGAAGCGTATTTGAGCAAATAAGATCAGGTTAAGGGAATAAGCAGCTCCACATTGAGCTCCTCATACCCAACTGCTACATCTGGTTAAACTTGTTTCTCTCTTTATTGACCTTGCTCCTTTCTTTGACCCAAAAGGCATGTGTCCCCTCTCCTAGAGTCCAAATTTCCAGTCTTTCCCTTCTTCCCTCCAGTAACAGCCCCAGAATCACTTCCTGTTCTTTCCTTCCTTGGGCTAATGATAAAATCAAGTCATTGATGCACGCTTCTAAAAGAGAAAAGCAACTCACTGCTAAATGCTCAGTTCATGCATGGTGTGGGCCCCAGTAGCCTCCCCTCCAAGCCTCCCTGATGCTTTCCATCGAGGTCGGGATGGCTACCACAGCCATTATCTCACTATCTCACACGGCTACAAGTTTCCCTCACAAACTCCTACTACCTAGTTCTCTTTAATTTAAATTCCTCAAAGCTTTCCTTTCATGTTTCCCCCCCACTCTCTCCAAGGTTATTTTCTCCTTTATTCCTTCACATCGTAGCGCTAAACGTAACAGGGATTTTAATTTAGGTCTAGAACAGGACTCCTGCTCAGTGCTGATCACAAGACTCTGAGACACCAAGCAAAACGTTAAGGTCCAGTGCTGCAATACAAAAGAAAAGCTAGGCTTCTGGGGTTTGGGTTTGTTTCTTTTTTTTTTTTTTTTTTTTCCAAATATACTTTTGCTTGCATTTATCCAAACAAAATCTGAATGGTGGAGGGGTGTAACCAAGTTCTAACTGGCCCTGAAAATGTGGCACTTTTCTGATATGATGGAAAACCAGGTTAAAAACAAAACTGATTCAGCACAGGGCCTTGTTCTAATCTTTTACATACCAAGAGAGCTCTGAACTAACAAACCAGACTCTCACTTCCTCCCTAGAGGCCCAACTCACTTTTGTTGGTAACATAAGACTTTGGCCTCTAAAAATAAAGGCAAGGATATTAAATCATTATACCTGTTTGCTTGTTTATTTTCTGAATGAGAAGGATGCCAAATTTAGTGAAAAATCCCCTGGTCACAACTGCAGAAACTATTTTCTTGTACAGTTCTCTCTCCTTTCCTCCTTTTTTTAATGATTAAGTTACAACACATGAGAAATGTGCTTTGGATAACGAAACTGCACGAAAGTATCAAAATTGTACCAGATTCTTCCAAGAAAACTTATATGACCAGGATGTCCTTTTCTTTTTCTCAAGCTTCTGTATCTCTCTGCAACAAAACAGAAGAATCTAGACCTAAATACAATATACCCTAAGTAAGGGTTCCTTTCATGTATTCACACCAAAGAACAGGATGTTAGCTTCAATTCTAGTCTTAACTTCAAAATCTAACTGGTGACTTGAGCATTCCGAGTCCCTCTTGCCTAATACGTAACTTCTGAAATATTTCTTGCTTCCTCTGAAAGTGTTTAGTCATCTACCAGGCTGTGCCTCAGGGCAAAATTAAATATGTAAATAAATCAATGTAAATTAAAAAAAAAGTTAGAACACCATGCATAAAACAAATACTTAACATGCCATCACACTCTATGGGGAAAAATATTTTTCAAGATACAGTACATCTCAAACAAGGCCTAAGTTCATATGGCACTAACCAATAAGTTTACCACTGAGGATTCCATAACATGGAGTATATAAAATAATCACAGAACATTCATCACTTCCATAATAAATATCATGTCATTAATTATTTTCAGATTCTATCTGTGCAGCCTTTGAAATAAAATATTTACTAAACCTTCTTTATATTTCTGAATCTTTTAAAGTCTAATTTAAACACAGAAAACCAAGTACGTCACTTCAGCTGGAATAAAATATCAAGAGCTGATTTTCAAAATGCCTGATAATGATGATTCAGATACCCTAGGTGCCAGAAAGAACTTTTGCCAGACGCATAGCTTTTAGTCTCACATTCTTTACGTAAATTGCCCAAGCAGAGAACAACAAAGCAGCATGCACAAGTTGCTTGCAGCATGAGTTTTTAGCTACTGTGCATGCATGAAAGTTTAAATGAGAGGCAAAAGTAGTGTTATGAACTTTCAAGCTTTTCTAAAACTTACCCTTGCTCATCAGAAAGCTTTTGAAACAGTCTGAGAAATCAGAAACCAGAAAAAGAAAGGATTCAGTGTCTTTATATTCATAACAATGTTAACACCATCAGAACACCAGCACTCTCGCTAAATGAAGGGGAAACTCAAAGCTCGAGGACCAGCCAGCATGGAACAGCACATTGGAGACCTGACACTAGTCACAAAACACATCAGGACTTGCATGATGTGTCAGTCGGGCAAGAAAACTGGCAGAACAAGGCAGCCTGCAAGATTCCAACGCTTCCGATTTTGCAATACTGCTAATAATAATACTGTATTAATCCCGCACCACTTAGCCCAGTGCTGCTGAACAGCACAACGCTCAAAAGTTACTCACTTCAAGAAATGAAAATTAATGACAACTTGAGTCCCAACAAGAAGCCTGGTTTACAGAGGCTGTTTCCTTCAACCACTTCTGATACTAAATGAAAGTAATACTTGCAAAGAAATAAAAGAATAAAAGGCCCTATATAGAAGTTTAGTATATTAAGTGGAGAACCAAATTAATCCAGTGTGATTCAAGTAGACTTTTAGTATTCTTGAATATGAGTATTTTATTCTGTTAAATGAATTCTTCAAACGTGACTTATTTTTGAGCACTTCAGAAATGTTCTTTGGCGAAGCTCGCACTTTGTTAACAGTATTAAAGCTTAAAAACTAAAAGCAGCAACATCAAAGTATCAACTGGAACATGGAAGTGTCTTAGTCACAAAGTAATGAAGCACAGCTGGGAGAACTGCAACTTGCAATGCCGTATTTTCAGACCTAAGGAAACATTTGAAACAAAAATTCAAAAGGAGAGCTAGGAAGTACTTAAAAACAGTGTTCAGTCAGAAAAGAGAAATTTTGAGTGTATCAGGAAAAGATTAGGGGGAAGTATTATTCAGGATTGTATGAAAGCAGGAGGAAAATGCTAGCAGAATAAAGTATATCACAGTGGAATTTAATATTACACGGACATGCAACTTGCATGCACTGTGGCTTTGGGTGGGCAAAACAGCACTTTTTTCTTTTTTTTTTTTTTCCTCCTCATCTAATCACCTCAAAACTGTGACAGGAGGGTTTACAAACACTTTCATGCTTAGGTTCAAGCAAGAATATCAGAATGTCTGTTTTCAGAAATTGTCATTAAAGCATTTATGTGCTTCAGAAATGTTCCTACCAATTATATTTTAGGGAAAAAAGAAATTAATTTCTAGCCTCCACAGTCTTTTGAATAATCACTATTCCGGTTCAACCACAGAAAGAAACTTATGCAGAACTTTGAGCCTGAAGGAGTGATAAAGATTTTCTCTAAGAGAGCAGCATAAAACTAGAAAACATTGTAAATTTGTTGTTGTTGTTCTTGAAAATATGGTATTGCAGTCATGAGCTTCTATTCAAAGCAAATAAAAAGCTTGTCCAGGACACCACGAACAAATAGCGGATTGGCACTCTACAAACGATTCAGCACAAGATGATGCTTTTCTGAATGGAAAGGGTTCAACTGCACTCAAACGCAATTCGTGCAGGACACAACCTGACCTCTCCACCATTTGCCGTTTCTTGTGTCTAACTTTGCTGGCTTCCCTGATTGCTTCCCACTTCTTCCAGTCTTCTTCACTGCATGGACCCGGGATGAAATTTACTGGCTGGACGTTGCTTCCCACCTTCCAAGATTCAATCTTGCGGGTCAACATATCGTCCTTCTTATGGTGGGAAGAGGGCGACAGGACTCTGCCGTTGCTCTTTCTTTCCTCCGGTGTTGCATTTTTTTCAAGTAAACATAGAAATTTGGACCGTATCTCCTCTGGAAGACTCCATGGATCAGGAAAGAGTGCCGCGTGATATTTATCTGGAGCACCCGATAAAGGCACCTCTTTCTTCTGAGAGAGGATTTTACGTAAAATCATGTCATCCTTTTCCAAATCTGGAATCACAGGTTGGCCCTCTCTGGGTTGCAGAATTATCTCACCCTCTAGGGAAGGCTCCTGCTCAGAGAACTTTCTTAAATAGCGGGGGTCTTGGAAAACAACTGGATTCACATGGAAAGCCCCAGTTTTCCGAACAAATAAGTCATCGTTCTCTAAATCCGGATACAGATATCCATTTTCCGCATCTCCTTGCTTGCATCCTGGTACAAAGGAAATATTCTTTCTACATTTTATGAGCCTAGGGCCGGAAGTAGGATCAATTTTAGTCTTCGTTTCAGAAGACAAGTAGTCAGAGTATTTTTGCAGGGCCTGAAGTAACGAAAACTGACTGAAGCATATAAAACAAAAGGAGGGAAGTAAAGACATCATTAACTAGCAAGAGACAATGTATTGCAATATACAGTTGGTTTAGACTTGCAGTATCCCGAGCAGTACAACTACACCACTTGGCATTCACCACCACTAACTGCAGCACAGCACACACCAACCAACGTAAAGGTATCATGGCATACTAACCTGCTCAGAAACCGCACGCTTACATGCTCACACACAAAGCCGGTAACCCTATGCAGCACGTCACACTTTTGCATTTACGTGTTTCAGAAGACCAGTGACTTACAGCTACATTTAAAGAAAAACCAAAAAAAAAAAAATCCCACCCCCAAACCAACAAACCACAACTAAAGCCAAAATGGTAATAATCAAAAAAGCGTGACATCACAGGAGGTGGCTTAATTTCTTTTAGCTGTTGCATATCCAGTCACGTCTTTTTGATGCAGCAAGAGTACAGCTCATGCAGCAATATGAACCTGGGCTGATCAGAAGCTTCCAAGATTTTTCCTTCTGCAATCTGTGACAATGAGCTTCCCATATATTCAGAAGTTGGCTTATAGTTCTGGTCCCTTCTGCAACTGCTGTTCCAGTCAAAACCCAGTCTTGGCTGATTAGCAACAATGGCAGAGCTTTGTTTGTAAGCAAATTCCTCATCCTCAGAATCTGATTTCTTTCTACTGTGCAGCAGCACAAACAACGAGCAGAGGGAAAGAAAAAACCAGAGGAAGTGTGCTCATTGAGTAAAATGCACAGTGACAACAGTGCAACAGTATAATGAAATTATTTTTAAAAAATAATTAAAAGAAAAAGAAAACATTCTGCTGCTAAACTGGCAATAAAACCAAAAAAAGAAAGATAAAGTCATACAACTACATCTTATTTATAGGTTTTGCACACAGAAGAGAAACAGGGGCATGCATGAAAACGCACCTGAACCCTTGAATCTCTTTATACCAGGGTTTGAAAGAGGATTTTCTGATTTTTTTCCATAGCAATTCTTCTTCTGGAGTCCAAAACTTAGGGAGAAATTTGTCAAAAGCAACAACTGTACTGGCCGCTGAAGAACTTAGCTTGCGTAAATAGAGATCATCTTTTTCAATGTTTGGGATGCCTACTTCTTCTTCCTCGTCCTCATCAAAATACCCAGATAATTCTGAAGGAATTTTAACTCTTGGGTTTTTTTCATCTTTAGTATCCAACTGCCTCTGCCTCCTCTGGTTACTGTTCAAAATACCCAATCAGTTAAGATATTTTAGGAGCAACTTGACCAAAAAAAAATATGCAAAAAGACATGCTTTTTTTGGCTCAGGAGTTCAACCTTGTGAATGAAGCAAATTAGTTCTCAATTCCATCACTGCAGCACCAGAAATAATAAAATACATTAGGGTGGGGGGGGGAAAAAAAAAGTTAAATGGTTATATCAGCATCCTATTGCCTCTGACAAAAATACAAAGTTTGACAGAAAAGGCATAACAAGTTATCAGCTGTGTTAAAATGCACATTAGAAGGCTAACTTTAAGGAGTTATATATGGACTGCAATTTAGGTAATACAATAGTTACTGGATCTTGGATTAGTATCTCTGACCTCAGTGGTTCAAGCATTGCAGCTAGAGGACCAGCTGGATAACTGTCTTGTGAGCAAGATTTAGGAGAGTCATTGTGCAACATGAAATGATGTCCAGGTGCAGCAGAGCTTACAGGGCTCTTTTTGACTAGAAATCTACGTTTTGCTAAGTCATCCATAACCACGTCGGGCAGCCTTCTTTCATCTTCTGAATCAGAGCCACTGTCATACTCATAGATCATCTGGAGGGAAGCTGGATTTGTGAGCCCACACTCTGCTCTGCTATTTTGGCAGGAAGCTACTGGATTCCTTTCACGTCCACTGAGGTTGACCAAAACAGGAACAGAATGAAGACAGTGAAGTCACGAAGGCAATGATGAAACCCAAGAATCGCCCACTAATTTCATGTGTATGCACCAAGCAACTGGACAACTAAAATCCATCACCACATTTTGGAAGGCTTTAATGAGAAACTAAAACCGTAGGTCTATCTCTTGTGAACTTGTGTTTAAGATCATTCAAATCCCGTCTATCTGGAGTCTGACCAGCCTCAAAAACATTATTCAAGCACCAGAAAACTAACTATATGGAACAAAGTAAAAAACAAAAGAAAACAAAAAAAAAACCCAAAACAAACAAACAAAAAGCCCCCACACCCTGAAAAACCAACCACACAACCACACCAAAAACATCCATCACCATCCCCTTTAAAATATGGAAACTCAAAATACTTTACTTTGTATTGCAGCAAAGGCAGTCTTTCTTTAACTCATAAAGAAATGATCTATTTTAAAAGACTTAAGTCAAAGCTTGCTTTACTTGGATGGCACACCAGTACCTTGAAAATGTTCCATCGGACTCTGTGATGGGACTTGCCCAGCTCCTCCTGTTGTCCTCGTTCTTCTCTGTCCTCTTCTTCCTTAAGGGCGCCGGCACATACGCCGTCTGCTTGTTCTTGTTGGGTAAGAAGCGATTGAAGTCAGTGGTAGGTTTCGGTTCAATCACAGAAATCCTACGGTAAGACCTGTCGTCCTTATGGGAGTCATGCATTTTGAAAGGCAGTTCTGAGTCTGTGTCACTGTCACAACCTTAGGAGAAAGATGAGAAGAGGCACAGACATCATCCTCTAGACACAAACTTCCAGACAGAACTCGTACCAAAATCTTCTCAAAATCAGCTTAACTCCGTATGCAGGATTGTTTCGACTGCAAATTTGCTAGGCTACTGACAGGACAGGAAGAGAGGTATTTTTAGAAGTTTGTGGCAAGGCTGTGATAAGGTCCACCAAGCTGAGTTTGGTTTGCATGCCCCTGCTACATTTGTTCCATTCTTTCAGTATTGCTGCTCCCTGCAGGAAACAAAGCGCTGACCTCTAGATTGAAAGACATAAAACAGTGCAGAAGTTTTTAATTAAAAACATACTTGCCATTCAAATTTACTAACAAAGACAAGTCACCAGCAAATGAGCCATACACTCATCTCGCCAGATTAACATCCACTAGAAGTCCAGGAAAATTCACATATGTAGCATGGTTACATGTTGCTTTGCTCAGATCAGAAATGCTCCGTGTGACTTTGGCCCAGGGATTTTATGTTATACACAGGGAACAAAATCCAAAAGCTCACTAGTTTTATAACATTAAGTTAGACTGCAAGCTGGTATTGAATTTTAAAACTGGGAGAGGAACACAGCTGTAGGGATCCAATGTCACAAACTTTCTTGTTGTTTCTTTTGTTTCCATGGCAAACTATCAGAAGCAACAACTACTATTCAGCTTTTAACGAAGGTGGGGAAAACCCCCATTGAACATTGAATACTCCCAAATGGAGAGATGACAGAGCCCTGACATGTCCCTACTAGGAACAAGCAAAGAGACTTTCACAACTGTTGCATTTTAGGTGATCCTGTAAGGTCTGGATTCTAGAAATCTTCCTTCCTGAACCATGAAAAAATACTCTGCACAATCACACACCCTAACACGGGCAGCAAGAGTTCCAAGAACCCGTCCTAGGAAAATTCATGTAAGCATTGCTTTGTTTCTACAACTGTAAAGGGTCAATATTTGCTTAAGCAAAACGCAACCGCAGCAGTTGCAAAAGCAGAGTTACCCTTCAAGCAGATTTACATACTGGGCACTCAGAGTACTAGGTTCATACGTTGTCTTCTCCCACATTCATGAGATATATGTCAACAAAAGATTTAAAAGAGGAAAACAAACCTTCACTGCCACCTTTCAAGGTTATATCTGAAGAAAAGCTTGTGGAGGATCTTGAACCAAGAGAGTCCAAGCTATCAAAGGAATCCTCTCTTTTATGGCTAGCTGAAGATGAAAAGGGCTCTCCTCGGTCAACGTACCAAATATCACCGTACCCACTATCTCTGCCACTTCTGTTCAGGTGGCTGGACTCTTCAAGCGCCTACGAGAGTAAGTTTTGAAAGGTCTTTTACAATAATTGAAGATGCAAATGCTACTTGTGAGTTTTCACTCTTTTTTTTTTTAAATGCATTTTGCATGCACAAACAAACTTTAAGATAATTGCAAACTCCTAAAAACAACATACACAGCAACATGGATAGGAGATTCAACACAAGGTCTTAGATTTCTCTTATCTCAATCAAAAGGAATCAAGATAGGGCTGTGTATGTAATCTATCACATCAATCAGAGCAGGTTAATTCTGAATTTCATGATATACAGGTAGCAGAAGAACCAGTGTAAGCTGAAAGCCATTCCATGGACTTTGATAGCAAGCCAAACAAAAAACCAAATTACTACATTCTCCAAACCAAGAACAAAATTAAACCCCTGAGAGACTGATTAGACTTGATGCTATATATGTAGCATAGAGCAAACTATAAAATTCAGGCTATATATTGGTTTCCTTACCTTAGTCAATGCTTGCCCTAATAACTTCTCAAATGCTTTAAGACTGAGGTATGGACCATTATAATGAGGGTTACTTTGAGCTTTTCTTCCAAGCCAATATAATGTAATCAAAACCTAAAAATAAACAAAAAAACCTCTCCTCAAATAAAAAACTTTATTACTTTCCTCGCATAACATGTACTAGAACAAATGAATCTCAGCATGCTGCTAGAGACGTTTTCCACACTGGACTGTAAAATTTTGTTTACAGTATTAGCTATGATCTCCATTAAAACTAATTAAAGAGGATTAAAATGCATTTCATGTATCCCAAGTAAGCAGATGTAAGTACTGATTCTAATTATTATACTTATTTGGGAAAGCAAGCTACATAGAGATCATCATAAGATGGCACTACTTTGCATGAGATAAATGAACAGCTGAAGAATAAGTTAAACATGATAGTGCCATAAACAGAAATATGAATCAGAATTAGTGTAAAATTGTTTCAGAAAGCATTGAAGTAGATGTGTCTTACATTTTTCACTCTTCTGTTGGTTTCCTCCGGTCTGAAGCAGAGCAGGGAAAGGAAAAAAGCAAAATAAAACAAAGTTTTAAAATATTTGACGTAAAATTTAATTATCATTCAAGATCTAAAAGGTTTCAAGCCCAATTAGAGGCCAGTATAAAATACGCAACTATGACTGTTCTAAAAGAAACAAAAAGCATTTTGTTTTGAATTCATAGTTACAACACTGTACTATTTCAATGGTTATATATAAAGCAAGAAACTAGCTGATCTATTGTAGCTTCTGATTTGAGAGGTACTCAGAAAGGCTCCAGGCTTTTAAAATTAGCTCAGATTTTTAGTTAGCAACAAAATAAAAGTGGAAAACAAACTAATGACTTTGGGAAACGCAGCCCCTATTAGCGAGGAAGATCTTCAGTTCCATATGAAATCAGATTCAATTGTTACTTTTTCCCTGATTGCATTATGTTTTCTAAAACATATGGGTTGGACACAGAGAGCGCTTCAGCCAAGAAAGAACTTTTCAGACAAAAAAAATTGAGCAACTGAAACTGGGACATCTGGAGAGAGATCTTGTAGGGCTGGAAGTAAGGATTTGCTTTGCTTTTATGTAAGATACATGTTTCTCAAGAAACATTAAACAAACTTGCAATCACTAATATTAGTAGACTTTTTTTTTTTTAATATGTATAGTCAGTCAATTTGTGGCATACCTAGAAAATGCAACACACAGTTGTCCTGTTCTCCTCCTGCTCATTTTAAGAACAAGAAGCAGCAGCTTTTTGGATGGGAACCTTCCAAAGGTGAGGTACCACAGACTCAGGCCTCAGGTGTCAATACTCAGGGCTGGACTGCAAACAGTGGCTGAACACCACTCCTGTCCACACTGCCAACAGCTACGGAAGGGCAAATGGCTTAAATACACCAAAACAACTTTTCACCTGCCCCAGACACTGTTGGTTTGGGGCTGGTTCACAGCAAGCTTCACACGCAGCACGGTGAAGGGTTTGCAAACCAAAAAGTGGAGAATTAATACATGGCGGCAGAAAGACCTGCACGGAGTCCTGTTAATGGGTCAGACCAATGATACATAAGGGCACCCATTCTGTTTCTGGCTGTCTAGAAACAAGGTGGTCAAAGGTTGCAAGGAGAAGGTAGAATAAACTGTTCAGGGGACAGTTATGAGTTACAAAAATGACGGCAGGGCCTGGTCAGCATAGATGACAAATGTGGTATTTGACGCAACGTGACAACTGGCAGCCACACAGACCGCCCCTCCTTCTCTCGTTTCCCAGTTTGAAAGCACCCACTCCCGCTTGCTGCGGTTGCAATTACCTTGCCCATCCCCACACCGTAAAGAAATCAGGCTGCCAGGAACATGAAGTCCTCAGATGGAACTGATCTGCACAGCCCTCGCCTGCAGCTTCCTTAATATCAGATGCCAGAGATGCTGCTGGCTTTTAAGTCAGTGACCTCTGTCTCACGGATAACGAGGAACCCTTCTTCTTTAATGTGAAATATTTACACTTGAAAAAAAAAGAAAAACAATATACCAAAACATGTTGTTGTTCTTTTTCACCAAAGACTATTTTTGAAAAAAAAGTTTCCTTTTTTTTCTTCAGTATGGAGATTTCTTTTCCAATGTCCACACTGCAGGACACACCAGGGCTGTGACCCAATGTGCTGCCCAAAGACAAGTTGGCTTCCCAAGCAGAGGCTGGAAAACTGTTCTTGTGGTGGTGAGTACCAACACTGCACTTCCTGTACCCAACAGAGAGCATTTTAAAAGGTTTGCATTCTTCAGCTTCAAGGTGTAAATGCTTTCATTAGCAGAATTTCTGCTGTTATTAGTCATTATAAAAGCAGAGGCCACGCACACACTTGCTATGGATGCCTTAAAGTCTGCTTCCAACCTTCAGCAGTCTAGTAGGGGGTGAAAAATTCTGCCCTTAGTCAGTCAGAGCTTGTGTCCAAGAGGCTGCCAAACTTAACATAGAGCAAAGCTACATGTCAGAACACAATGATATCCACTTCTGCTTTATGTGAGTTCTTGGGGATCATTTAGAATCATAGAATTGTCAGGGTTGGAAGGGACCTTAAAGATCATGTGGTTCCAACCTCCCTGCCATGGGCAGGTACATCCCCCACTAGATCAGGCTGCTCAGAGCTCCATCCAGCCTGGCCTTAAAAACTTCCAGGGATGGGGCTTCCACCACCTCTCTGGGCAACCTGTGCCAGGGTCTCACCACCCTCATGGGGAAGAACTTCTTCCTAACGTCCAATCTGAACTGATCCATCTCTAGATTTAATCCATTCGTTCTAGATCTATCACTACCCGACATCCTAAAAAGCCCCTCACCAGCTTTCTTGTAGCCCCCTTGAGATACTGGAAGGCCACAATAAGGTCTCCTCAGAGCCTTCTTTTCTGCAGACTGAACAGCCCCAACTCTCTCAGTCTGTCTTCACAGGAGAGGTGCTCCAGGCCTCTGATCATCCTCGCGGCCCTTCTCTGGACACGCTCCAGCCTGTCCCGATCTTTCTTGTGCTGTGGGCTCCAGAACTGGACGCAGTACTCCAGGTGGGGTCTCACGAGAGTGGAGTAGGGGGGAGAATCACCTCCCTCGACCTGCTGGCCACACACCTCTTGATGTAGCCCAGGACACGACTGGCTTTCTGGGCTGCAAGTGCACACTGACGGCTCATGTTGAGCTTCTCGTCCATCAGTACCCCCAAGTCCTGCTCTCAAGCCAGTCACTGCTCAGCCTATATCAGTGCTTTAGGTCAACCATTTGCAACAGGAGCAACATTCAGCTTTCTTTATGCTTCAGTATGTTTTCTATACTGGAATAACCATAAATACACTAGACTTGTATACTTGGGCTATAAACAACACAAAACTGAGGACATTCAGGTAAACCAACGAGCACAAATAAGACTCAAAGTGCAGACAGGGAGATATTTCAGACACTTGAATAACAGACCATGCTCTATTCACATGTTTGCTCAGCTAACGACGGAAGCAAACGGACAAGTTATTTACTTTGTGAGCAAAGTTCCTTGATTTGCAATGCTACTCTTCTCTGTACTACGTCTATTGATCTCTAAACCTTTACAGCAACTTGTCACGATAGACATACTCTGAGCAGAATAAAAAAAAAAAAAGGAAGAAAGAAATCTAACCTAGAACAATCAGTTTCTCATTTAAAGAGGCATACATTATTTCCTTGATGGTGCTTAACCAAGGAAAAGGAGGAGGATTCTGGATGATGCATGTACTATCCTAGAATTCTATTTTTTTTTCCAAAAAAAAATCCTGAATAAAGAAGTAATGCTGTTACCTTACTGGAAGGTCTTAAAGTCATTTGTCACCTACAAACTTCTCTCTCCTCTACAAACTGCTTCTCCTCTGAGGTGTGTAACTTGCAGAAGATGCAGTTTGAATCCACCTGCCAACATTCTCTGAGTGAAATAAGAGCCTTTTATATGTACAACCAGGCTAAGCTCATTATGCACATCCATTCTTATGCACACAAGCCATTGCCCAGTTACTTTCCAGTACTTTGCATTTAAAACAGCTGGGCAAATATCTATTGCATAGAAGTGTGATACAAACTGAAGAGCTTTTAAGAAGAATGACTTTTCCCTGTGAACTTCAAAATTTGAAAAAGATTTTAGCACAATTGCAGTAAATGAAAACACAAAAAGCAGTAATTGTATTAAAAAGGTGTAGGAACTTCAGCAGTGTACCCTTTAAGCTTTTTAAACAGCACTGGACAATTATAATCTTCTTTTGAACATAAGTCCATAGCACTGCAGTGCATACATAGCACTGCCTGTAGAGACATTTGTCCTACAAAAGCTATTCTAGGAACTGAAGGGGTAATCTACTTGCTGAAGTAACTTCATCAGTGCAAATAAACACCAATCCTGCGTCGTGTGATGGAAAGAAGTCTGCTTTTTGACGTTTTCATTCAAAATTGTCACAAAGCCTAGTTAGTGCAGACTATATTCTTCCTGAAAATATTATTCTGTGCAACCCAATTCCTGGCTTGAATGAATGAATGCCATTAGTTGAAAGTTACAAGCAGGCTGGCGGCTTTGCTCAGGAGGACACAGTCAAGACTGCACCTTAAAAACAACGTGCTGAAAGAAGTAGGTTCCTCTCCAAATGAGGATGCCATTTGAAACATTACCTTCCTTGTCTTCCCAGTGGTTTTTCTGTCTTATTTCACTAACAGTGCAACTTCTCTAAAAATGTCTGAACTAAGCAAAGGAAGCTACTAAGGAAAATGGTTACGATCTCACAGAAAAAAAAAAATATTCTGAATACTTCATCTTCTCTTGCCACAGGCTCAGCATTTTAGCATTCATTCTGAAATTTTAAAAGAAAAGCAACAATGATCCTCCTTGTTATCTAAACTAGCCCCCTATGTCAAACCTAAAATGTTGGTAGCAGTTTCAAAAAAAGTTTACGTACAATTTCAAGATCAGCCATCCTGGAAAATTTCTATTAAACACAGCATGAAAGTCTTAAGGCCATAACACAACAATATGTGTGAATTATTACAATAATTATGAAGAACAACTGCACAATTCCAAGTTGAAAACTGATGCAAAAAGATGTGAGATAACCACCAGTGGAGAAATAATACCTTCAATATACACCATCTCATCTACGTCAATCCTTTAGCAAACAGAAAAAGTCAAATGGGACAGAAATAGCTCTCACTTGTTAGTAAGTGATACACTTAGAGACCACATACCTCTGTTAACATCTGAACACAACACATTCACAGACATCACTTATGCCTAGCCAGCACAGACCAACAGATATTTCTCTAAGGAGGGCCACTCTACAAGAATAAAACCAAGTGACGCAGCAGGCCAGCAAGCTGAGCCACAGCTCAAGGAATTTATTCCCAGCTCTGCTGTTTGCTCAAGGTTAAATAGCGAAATTAGTCACCAAGGCCCTAGCCTGACAATACAAAGGCCTTTGGCAGCAGCTCTAGCTTAAGGATTTCCTGGTCTCATTTTCCTTTC